GCCATTGGTCTTCGCACGACTGCTGCACGAAGGCTCATTTGTCTGCAGTTCTTTTACGTTCTACAACGGGATCTCTCCGTGCCAAGAGCTGCGCGGACGACGAACAGCCCGCCGGCCGCGCCGGCCGGCACTGGGCCACCCACGGGCGACGGAAACGCCCGATCACAACGGGATCAGAGAAACAGAAAAACAAGCGTTGAGGCCATCGCTCGACCACGCGCAAGAGTGACTTTCGGCGGAGTGACTCTTGGCGCGGGCCCAATGGGGCCCCCCGATCGCCGAGCGCGATGCGGCAGTAGCGTCCTGCGCGCTTGTGTTTGGCACCCCCGCGGTCCTCAAAACAGCCGCGCACCAGAGGTCACTCTTGCCCGGGGTCACACTTGCGCGCAGCCGAATCGCACAAACCACTGCAGCAGTCAAAACCAGTAGAGCCACACTCGCAAAAACGACAGCAGCGGGGCACCACATCTATCAGCTAGGAGGTCTCGTGGATTACTACAGCCCGACCACTGCCGAGGACGATTGGGCAGATGGACTTGACCGCGCCCTATCGCCCGTATATGCCTTGACCGTGGTCAAGCAGTTGCACGGGTCGGAGGTCGGGAAGTCCTGGTGCAATGCCCAGACTTGCGACCCGCATTATGTGTGGAGGTATCAATGGTCCGCGAGATCGGCTCGGACACTACGGCAACTCGAACAGCATTAGCCTTTTATCGCGAGCTTGCCCACGGGGGAATCTGCCGCGGTCTTTGGCTACCTGCCGACCGCGCAGGGAAACCTGCGGATGACTGCGGCAAGCCTTCTCTCGCCCAAAGTACACTGTGTCCTGCAGTTCCGCATTTGAAATTACTTTGGGATAGAAAACGTTGCAGCTGCACCTTTGGCTGAAAGCGCCCGCCGGTTGCCGGCGGCGCCCAGCGCCGATAGCTGCGCCCGACGCGACGTCGGGGTTTCACTACTACGAGTCAGAAGGCACCGCTCTCAACATTCACGGCGTCGCTGGCACCGCGCATGCATGAATTATTCAGATCTTAGGCCCATTATCAAATTTTTAGCGCGCTTCGATGAGGGCCCCTCAAAGTTCGAGGACCTGGCGGACGCGCCAGCGACAGGCGGCCGCGCCATGGAGGGGGGCAGACCTCCAGCGCCGGCCGCCCACGATGGTAGACTACCGATTACTGATGAAGAATGAAACAAATCTGGAAGCACATGCCGCGGGCACGTGATATGTAGAGCTCCAAATCGAAATTGAATTTTTCGAGACCCCCTCATGGGAGTCCCTGTGTTCGGTGCCCGCTGAAACTGTTACCGACGACCGCGTGCTCGCGGCTGTGGCCAGTGGAATGCAAGCACACTTGCGAAGTGTAGGTTATGCTCGGAATCGCGACACCGACGAAACCTTTCTGGTACCTTGGAGCACTGAATGCGACTAACTTACGATCTCGGCTCAGACGACCACGGCCGGCATGTCGAGCTAGGCTCCACTGCTGACGTGGCCGGGCTTGGTCTACCAGAGCACCTGTGCGAGTCGCTGCGCAGCGACCAAGTAACCGCATTGCGCGTATTTGTCTCGGCCACAGCAAAAAAAGAGTTGCGGTTGTCAAGGAAGACGACCTCCTGGCGAAGGCAGGCATACAATCGAACCCGACACAGATATCTAAGGCTTTGTGCACTGAGGGATGTTGTGACAATGCATGCTTTGGGATGCAATCGTCAAGAATGCGACCAGTACCATGACCTAGATACGTGTACAAGTGGAAATTCTGCCAGGAACGACGATGGCGAACTTGCGCCTTGTTCGCCGCGGCTTCATGGCCGTCGAAGCGTTTGACGTAGAAGCTTTCTCCGGCACAGCTCGGCGAGCAAGCCGGAGATCGCTCGCCCGCGCGGCCGCGCGCAAGAAGCAGTGGATCATAGCATCCATGGACATCCGCAAGGATTTCTGGAAGGGTCTGACTTGCCGCGGGTTGGCAGAGGCCAGCGGTGAGAAAGAGCGCATGGCATGCTTCGCTCTTCCACCTGGTTCGGCCTCGGCGCGACGTGCGCACCCCGATTTCTCGCCCCATGACGAGTCAAAGGGCTGTCTTCAGTGCCTTAAGCCAGGCGCTGGCACCAACAACGCCCCCGGGGCACTCTCAGTGAAGCTCAGCGCCATCGCGCGAGGCTTCGGGCTGAAACCCACATCATATGACGCAGAATTTGAGACAAGCCCAAACCTCCTGACAGCCAGGCAGGTTGACGACATCAACATGGCAGGAGTGGAGGAAACCATTGTCAAATACGTAACATGTGTAGAAGGTGCGTTCGGCGCATGCAAATTGAACACGCGCTGCTGCATCAATTGCGCCGTGCGATGCGCGGAGGCCGAGGGCGGCCGCGCCCAGGTAAATCAGGATGAACACATAGAACAGCTGCGTCCGATACAGCATCCAGGACTTACGGGTGCCGTGGCGGAAGAACCGGCGACGCAGACAGAATCCGGCATGTTCGCCAGTTCACGCGGCGCCTTGGCATATGCGTTGACCCATCATGCACGGTCATTGGTGCGCGCGGTGCCTTTGCAACGTGCACAGGAGCCCGCGGCGCTCTGAGTGCAATGACTGAATGCTGCCGCGCGCAAGCGGCATCAAGGTGCGAAGAACGTACTAGATCCATGTTTGACCCCGACAGGAGAAGTGGACTTTCATAGTGACTCAGGACGCAGGCGCCTCAGCGGGGGCGAAGATGACGAATTGGAGATGCGCGGCGTCCGATGGGGCAAACCTTCTACCGCGTGGACGCGCGCCCAACCGCGAAGCAGTAGTGCGTCTGATTGATGCGCACTGCAGGTCACGTCGCATGTAGGTGCGCTCCAGCTACTCAGCTGAAGCACTCGCAGCCGTTCATTAATTCGAGGGCTGCTATCCTACCGCAGTAACTCTACATGTGCTTCAAGCTGGACCCCGCGCCTACTGAGTTTAAAAACAGGTTAGAGTTAGGTGGTATCAGCATTATCTATCCTTACTATAGACGCAGAGTCAGATTGAACATTCTTGTCAAGTAAGGACTTGAAGAAGCCGACCGAACGTGCCCGTTGGGACATTTCAGCTGGGTAAGGCAGATGATGGACCGAGGTCTAGTTCATAACGCACAATGGTGTGATGCGCGAGATATGACCGCGCGCGGCCATGCCAAGGGGCGCGTCGACCGCGCGTTGCTGCTGCAAGTGATGGACGGAAATCAACCCTTCAAACGCGAAGTAAAGAAGTGCATGCCCTATCGAGGCAAGAATGACACATCGCCAACGTAGGGGCGCCCTATTCAGGGCCAGCGGACAATAACGAGGACGACTATGCAAACGCAGACAAGTGGTTTTCTTGCCCGGACACGCGCACGCACGCCTACAACGTGATCATCATCGCCCGGCCACGGCCGTAAATACTCATGGCGCCACAGCTACCGTGAGTGCCTGGGCACGGGCATTACCATGTTCTACGTTTAGAAGTGGTCTGACCGCTAGGTCATATCCCCATCGCTAGCTGCGCGCTTCGACGTCCGGCCTACTGGCTGGGCGCCCCTCCCTAATTGTCTTGTGGGTAGTCATGTGGATCTGCCCGTGACTACCCATCATCGTCTGCGGCTGGTCGTGGCAATGCGCCGTGACCAGCCCCCGTGCTCTGCGCTGCTTTGTCTGCGCCTGGGCACGGTGTGTCGCTGGAGATTTTGAAAAACAGTCCCCCAACCCTCCTACTTTACAGGAATTAATTAATCAGGACTTGGATCTAGCGTTCGGCCCTTCCCCTCCCGACCCTATACAATGTTTAAGGAGGGCCTGTATAGCGAACCCTATATCCGACACTGTTTCGGCTCAAAACTGCGCGTCTTGTATGCCGGGTGCGCGCGGCTGTGCGCCTCGCTTGGGATCTCAGCAACAGACAAAAGGCCACGTCCTTCTATGATCCACTTTCATTTCCCATGGTTCCTCTCTCGTCTATCCTCTCGTCTGCCATCAATGGGTGAGTTGTGGGGTGCTGCGATGCGTCGCCGACGTTGTCCACAGATTAGGGTTCTCAGCATATTACCTCAGGTCAGGTTCTGTACCCTTACTTATCACTGCGTTTGGGGTCCCTCTTGGAACGTGATCGACGCCCTATTGGGCCGTCTTGGGCCGTCGTGGGGCCCGCGTAAGTAACGCTGATTCTTTCTTTTCGAAGCCCTCTGCTGGAGACTCTTGGGCTCTTGGGGCCTTTTTCGACGTCTCGAAAACCCTGTTTGGGGCTGCGTTGAAGCCATGTTGGGCCGTCGTGACGCGACGTGCACCGTGTTGGAGCCAGAGTGGGCCGTTTTGGAGGCGTTTCGGCCTCGGGATCGCCAGCGTGTCGCAGTCTGCGGGGGGGTGTGGCCTCGAGAGCGGGGACGGGACGCATGCTGGCCCAGCGTGACGACGCGATGGGGGGGGGGCTAGAAATTTACAGCAGCCCTACCAAACAACATTTGGCATTCTAGCACGCCCCAGCGTGCCGGGGGGCACTATGGCGGATTCCAGTCATAACGGAACGGCTATTTTGGGAGAGCCGCCGGTGTAAACGAGACCCTGGACAGTGGCCCCCTTCAGTTCGGCGCAGCCTCGTTTGTTTTTTCCGTTCCGTGCTCCCCTCTTCTAGTCCGGTTCATTTCGTCCATCCCTCCGTCGCTCCCATGCGTTGCTTCTTTGGTGTCGTCGTCGTCGTCGTCGGCCACACTTCCTTGCGGTCGGGTTGGGTGGCCTGCGTCGGACATTGCTCCCGACAGCGGAGTGTCAGGCGGCGCACGAGGTGTTTTTCTCTGCTCATCGCAGGGTTCGTTGCTTCCCTGCTCGTTTAGCGACGGGAACATATTTCCGTTTACTTCACACATGTGTGATTGTATGTGTGCGTACGCGTGCCTGATTACATTGTCGTATTTTGCACAGCGTTAGGGCGTGTGTATTCCATGTTTGGTAATGCGACAAAGTGCATTCGTGATGTCGGCGTGATGGCTAGGACGGGAGTTTCGACGTTGTGGTGGACAACGGCATGCTGGACCGCCTCATATGCGCCGGCACCTCGCCAATGCTAGCGGGCGCTTACTTGGGCGACGATCGTCAGCTTGTCTGAAATGTGGGAATGGAACTCGCACCGGGAAGTTGCTTGTGGAATAGCACTGACATGCAACAGTGGAAGAGCAAATGATAAGAATGAGCGTTGTTTTCGATATGTAGCAGGGTTGTTTCGTGGAGCCACACCACCTGGATCGAAGAACCGGGTGGTTTCACTTCAGCGCCTCTTGTCCTCCTCCTCCTCCTTTATTGTACGTCCTCTCTGAAACAGTCTTGATGTTGTCCAAGCTCGAAGTTGTGCTCGCAGTTCCGGCATGACACAAAAATAACACACAGTCTTCCTCTTGGCGTTCATTTCTTTGTTTTTCACCCGGCCGATCCTCATCATCTTTGTGGCAAGGGTGTTGAGTGGAGGTGGTGCGTCTATGGAGGAAAGTCCTTTAATCAGGTTTAGTCTTGGTGTTTTTACGACCAGAGCAGTTTTCCTTCGTCTTTGAACCAATCTGGCCTGTAGGCGCAGCAACAGAGTCTTCATCGCTGCCGAACCCACTGGGCCCTCGGCCGAGATTGCAGTATTCCGTGCACCCGGGTTCTCGGTGTTCTGTCAGCATTTTATTGTTTCGTTTTCCAAACGCGTGCAGGAAGTAAGAGGGCACCAATCGCATGCATCTGCGACTTTGAGTAGGTTTGCGTTCGGCATGCTGCGCCCTTGATATCACGGCGAGCATGGGCAAGCGGATAATTTTGGGCCAGCACGTGGAGATGTGATATGTTTTAGGGGTGGGGTCGACCTCTTCGAGCCGTGTCCGAGGAGGGCCGGGCCAGGATGCAAGGTGAGGCCATGCCGAGTAGGGTCCCCCTCCCAGCTGCCCTTCGGCAGCTGTCCCCGCAGCGCCCACTCCCCGCCCACTGTGGCCGTCATCCATCATCCATCCCCTCTTTCTCCTGCTCCTGCTCCTGTGCACTCATCGCCTTCGTCCTGATTCTCATTCGCCCTGCGTTGACGCAGCCCGTCGCCCACTTCCCCTCCCTTCTGTGATCCTGATCATCCTCCTGGCCTTCCTCTTCCTAGAATTTCTCTGTGACGGCCTTTTCGCAGCCGTCCCTCTTTGGCCAGCCCCACGAGGCGAGACAGTTCGTGTGCTCGCAGCAGGCGCTTGCGGTTTCGCAGATCCTTGCTTTCTGGGATGGAGGACGTTGGGCAGATTGGCAGGGGCACGAGGGTGGAAGGAGCCGAGAGAAACGGCGATGAGTGGGGGGCGGGGCAAGTCGGTGTCGGGGAAGAGGAGGAACATTTTGGCAGGGAAAGGGCAAGTGGGGGAGGGCTCCCCTTCTGCCAGATGCATCTGCAGGACCCGCAGGATAGGGCGATGGAGTGAGTGAGTGGCGCAAGAAGCGCAACTCGTAAGCGACCTGTCACGTTCCCCTGATGTTTTCTGGTTACTTCCTCACCTTTTCCATCCTGGCCATGACCTTTCCCTTCCATCTCCCCTTTTTTGCTTGCTTCCTGTTTTGGCATAATAGATATTACCTTATTTGTTGCGTTCTCTTAATTGTGTTCATATGATGTGTAAGACGGCCTGATCTCATCCCTTCTCGTCTGAGCATTTGCCGGAGTTGAGCCACACGTGTTCCAGATGCGTCGGCAGATCCGCAGCTGCGCTGTGGCCCAAGGCCTGTGGCAAGTATTATTTTTACCGTAAGTCACGACCACGTCTAGATTTGAATTGTCGTTGGCCTTTTTCCAGAAGTTGTTCCACTCGTTATCCTCCACAAGTCGATGGAACGAGGTCCTCAATAGCTAATGTATAATGATTGAATACTGATTTGTATAATGATTCAAAATGGGGAGGAGAACGACGAATATAGTGTCGTTGACGTTGTCTCGGTGTTCCTTCGATTGGACGGATGAGACACCGCTGGCAAGGCGGTTGAGCAGCAACAGGAGCAGAACCAGCGCATTGTCAAGATGAGGACGTCTTTTTCCTAGGGCGCCGGCCAGCCGTGCCAACAGACTTCAAGCATGCTGAGATCCGGGTTTCAAATCCGCCACATGAGTGTCACCACAAGTATCTTGCAGCAGGGGGTCGGTTGTCAGATCGACCACCAACATACTACTCGTTGGCTGCAGACAGTATAGGCAGAGGCGGAATATATTTACAATCTGACTTTGGGAGTGTCTGGGGGTCAGGTCTGTAGGGGAGCCCGCAGGGGCGTCAGGAGGGCCGCCTTAGTCGCTCGTCGCCGTTGCTCTTGGTTCGCCCATTTTCGCGTCAACGTGCTCTTGGTGCGCGAAATGTCTGATCCAGATTTTCGTTGCATCGCAGGCCCACCATGACTTCCATCTAGAACTTCAAATTATGAGGGCGTCGCCCAGGGCTTCATGGCAAACGGCGGCCTAACACGTCTGGACAGCACTTGATTATATGGTGCACTGAAACGGGCCTGCGCTAATACAGAGGCAAAAGCCTGGGCGAGCCGACGCCCGTCGAACACAGCCGCGTTTACGACCAGACAAGGCAGCCTACAACAGGCCCGCGCTTCCGCGAAATATTGTCGGACGCCAGCGGTGCAAACCCCACTGCCGTAGCGCCAGAACTGACAAGACAGCCTGACGTCGATGTCTCTACGGAAGGCGGCCCAAGGCTGCCGCGCGCGCGGTGGCGCAGAGGCTGCCCTCGTTGAATTTCTTCACGCGCAACGGCCCGACGCCGCCGCGCGCGCGGTGGCGCAGAGGCCGCCCCCGCTGCGTTTTCCGCGGAGGGCGGCCCGGCACCTCCGCTCGCGCGGCGGCGCAGGGGGCCGCCCCCATCGACTCTCTCTTCAGAAGACTCGCCCGCGTCCCTCAGGCTGCGCAACGCGAGTCCCCTCGCAAACAGCGCGTGGCATCGCAGCCTCGTTGCTAAAATGTGCGCGCGTGTGTTTGCTTGCTTCGCGCTGTGTGGTGCGAGGTCAAACTCATACAGACAATCGCGTGCTCGCGTGCTCCGCGGTAAAGAGGCTGTTGGCGCCGCGCGCCTTCGAACGAGCCACGCGTCGTGGGGCCCAAGGGGAACCGCGCTGTCGGTGAGCGATGGTGCACGCGGAACTCAGGAAATCAAGACCGCCCCCCCCCGTCGCAAAGCCGAACTCGATTTCCGTTGTTTTACCATGTAGGCCGAGGCCGCAGACCGACGGCGTCGCAAGACCGATGCCGAAAATTGATACCGAGGCCAAAGACCGACGTGCATCGCAAGACACAGCGGCAAAACCAAGGCCGAGTACCGACGCCCTGGGGCAGAGGTCGAAGCTGGCAACCACGCCTAACCCATCGGACAATCCACCCCGAAGACCGACGCATATGCAGTACTGTGAAACAAGCGATGCTTTCAAGTGCATATCAAAAGCTGGGAATCTGGCGCCACAGCATAACCCAAACAACATTCAAAACAACAAGTTGACCCCCAAAAACCTCACACCGAAACAAAAGCGGATTTCCGTGTTAGTCGTTTTCCTTGCCCTTTCTGGGGCCATTCCTACAGGCGATCCCGTTCTCTGATCCCCAGACAAGCCCAAAATATGATGTCCCTGGTCGTTGTAGCTTATGTCACCAATCCGAATGTGAGTATCGCGATAGCTAGTGCTGCGGTGGTGGCCACATGCTATGCTGGAGGGTACGGGTGGCTGTATCTGCACGCGGATCTTGCTGGTACTTGAGGATGTGGTTGGTTTAGGTGCGGCGTTATGATAAATACTTACTTTGGTGTCCGTGCATATTGCCTTACATAGAGATCGGTCGCAACATGTGGGTATGACCGCAGGCAGTTGCTTTTATATGCCTTGAGACGCGCCAGCAGGCAGGTACCAAGCTGCATTGTCGGAAATTCATTCGCGGCAGTGGGAGGGTGGACAGCTTTGTGCCAGGAGGTGCGTTCGTGTGCGCGAGCCTGCACCCCCCGGAGATCACGATGATGTGCCTCGCGGGAAGGGGGCCCGCGCAGTACATCTCACTCAACGGGCGAGGGATTTCCAGGGAGAGCAGCATTCCCCTCATCTTCCTACCTCCCGCTCCTCAGCCTCCTCCTCCACGTCCTCCTTCCCCCTGAAAGAAATCATCATGACATTTAGGGCTATCCGTTCCTGCTCAGACGGGGGGTGGTTAGTGCAGCAGAGCAGTTGTATCGCGACACAGCTTTTGGATCTTGCCATTCAGATCATTGGGGGGCAGTCGGTACGGACCCAGGCGGGCTCGAGTTGATAACCGATGTGTGCAGCAACACTTTGTATGAGGGGCTAGTGCCAACATTTCGGAAGAAGCGTGTGATGCAAACTACATGGATGCATCTATACATGTGTATATATCTATGTATATATGTATGTATGTATGTATATATATATATATATATGTAGATACAAACGGGTAGGGGGTCTCGGGACCCCCAAAGTGCACTGATTTGTCTTCGGCCGTTTCGGGCCCGGTGGGGGGCACCAACAACCGTCAAAGGGGCCGAGACCCGTCCAAGAGGGAAGAGGGCGCCACGATGGCTCAAGAGCGCTCCAAGAGAGCCCAAGACCGAACAAGAGCGTTTTAAAATTGGTCCAACATGGCTTGAAGACAGCCCAAGAGGGCTTCAAGACGGCCAAGATGCCCTCAAAAGGATTCCCACGAGGCATTCAGGAAGCAAACAAAGTATGTTGTTCGATGTGTTCTCGCTGTCTCGTGCTTCCCACGGTCCAAGACAGCCCACGAGGCCCCAGGAATCAGCTCAAGACGGCCCAAGAGGCACCCAAAGAGGGCGCGACGAAGGCGCAAGGGAGTCCCAAGACGGCCCAAGAGTGCCCCACGACGGCCCGAGAGGTGCCCACAAGAAGGCCCCAAGAGAGGCCCAAGAGAAGCCCAAGCGGGGGAACACGAACGTACAATTCTAGCTTTCCGCCCTAAGAGGCCTCCAGGAGGCCCCAAGAGGGCCCCAACAGAGCCCATGAGGCCCCCCAGAGGCCCCACGAGGCGCAAAAAGGGCACCAAAAGACGCCCCACGAGTACCCAAGCGGCCCCCAAGAGGCCTCCAGAATTGCCTTCAAGAGGCCCCCGGGAAGCCTCCCACGAATCCCAAACGAACTTCCAAGTGGCCTCTAGCTCACAACCCAGGCACGGTGGCGGGACGGGCCGAAGGCCATTATCGGGAACGTGAACCGAGAACCCGAGATCTTCGACCGAGGAGACCCCAGGAGGGGTCAAGAGGTCCCCAAGAAGCTTGGCGACAGATCACCGGTCGACCGGTCGCTGAGAGCGGAGGAGGAAGAATGAGGAAGAGGCAGGAGGAAACAGAGAATGTTGACCTCATTATTCATGACCGCCTTGTTTTCTCAATGTGGTCAGCACTCGACAGGCTAGAACCATCGCGCGCGCGAAGCGCGCGCGATGGTTCTAGTAGTATATCTATATATGTATACACATATATACACAGATATGTATAATTGTTCTGAAGACCTCACGGCCGGTGCCGCCGACCCAGAAGGCGACGGCGACGAGAACGACGACAACGACAACGACAAGTTGATGACCCTGCCAGGTTTGGGACAGGGGCGGGCGATGGATTGAGGAGGAGGCGGAGAAGGAGGCGGAGGAGCTGGAGGAGGAAGAGGAGGGGGAGTGGAAGGAGAAAGGGGAGAGGAAGAGGGAGGCGGAGGATGAGATGGAGGTGGGGGAAACGTCAGAGGAGGAAGAGGAGGAGGAGCAGGAGGAAGACGAGGAGGAGGAGAAAGAGGATGAGGAGGAGGAACAGAGGAGCAGCAGCACGAGGAGGAGGAGGAGGAACATCAGACTGTTCTTTCAAAGGCATGCGGTGCTGGTTCAAAAAAAGAGGAGGAGGAGCAGGAGGAGCAGGAGGAGCAGGAGGAGGAGGAGGAAGAGGGAGGCGGAGGAAGAAGAGGAGGAGGAAGAGGAGGGCGACCAGAGTGACGCATTCAGCGCCGTTTCTGTAGCACGTTGGAGGATCATGAGACCGAGGGGATTCTGGGATTGTCTTGGACTCTCTCACCGTCTAGACTCTAAAGTATTGAACATCGGGACTCAGGGCCTCAGGCTGGTTCGAGGCCCCACGGGGGCCCATCACCCGTATTCACGCGACACGGTAGTTTTCGTCGGAGGAGGAAGGGGCGCGTCATTTCGGTGCACGTGCATTAACAGGTGTGCGTGTGTGATATATTTCATGTCATGTAGGTTTGTGTGAACACACGTGAGTATTTCTACATGCTCATGTGTATGTGTATGTGTATACATATGTATATATATATATATATGTATAACCAGGGTTCCAGGTCCCCCGGGAGGGCCCAGCCCCATTTCTCCATTTGGGGGACCGGGGCTCCAGGGCCCCGTTCCCGGTACAAACGGCCCGAGGCCTTTAAGACGCTCGAGGAAGCCTCCAAGACGCCCTGGAGCACCCCAGTGGGGCCCCAAGTCGGCACAGAGGCCGTCAAGACAGCTTCCGACGGCGTCAGGCGGGCCAGGTGCCCACCAAGACGGCCCACGATGGCTCTAAGATAGCCCAAGACGGCCCAGGAGCCTCCAAGAGGGCTTCCAGGGAGGCCCGAAGAGGCCAACATCCTTGATTGTCCTTCGTTTTTTAAAATGATTTTTGCATTTGCTTCTGTTCGGCCTTCCGACGGCCCGACACGGCCCAAGAGCCCTCAAAGATCGCCCCAAGATCGCCCAAGAGGTTTCCAGGATGGCCCCAGAACGGCCCAACAGACCCCCAAGATGGCCCCAAAGGGCCCCAAGACGGCCGAAGAGGCTTTCGAGACGCCCGAGATGGCCTCCAAGACGGCCCTGGAGCACCCAAAGAGGGCCCCAAGTCGGGGGGGGTGGAGGGGCAATTCTGAAGGAGGAGGGGCAAAGGCGAGAAGTAGCGAACGTTTGTCCGTGGCCATTTGGGCCCAAGCGTCCGGCCGCCAATATGACCGTGTCGCGCCGCGACATGCTACCAAGCATCGATACGGTAAATGGTTCCACCCTTTACCCTTGAAGTGCTACCCTTCTGCTGCTTGCGCGGCCATCTCTTCTCTCTTGCCCTATCGCTACCGCGAGACGACAAACCGAGTAAGTGGCTACGTCTAAGACGCAGTATATGGTCAGGCCTACCAGCTCGTTTCAAACTCGGTAGCGGAGCTGGCCGCTGGTGGCCAGCTCTAGCTCTACTCCTTGCTATTCACGGCGCTATCTGGTGGACTACTGTATGGTGGACCATCCGGGCGCAGTGGCTCTACGTAGAGGAGACCATGACCATCGCAAGGACACTTGCACTGAAGCCTCTGCTTACGCAGAGGTCCCCTACCTGAGCCCAGCATCTCTGCCTTACACCTAAAAGCCCACCCGCCAACACCAATTGGCAACTGCAGCTTCTTCGAAGACGCTATGCATGGTAACGTGCGTTATGAGGGCGCGCCTCCTGCACCTCCTCGCAAGCTGACGGTAACCTCTGCTAATAAACAACAGCGACCCACCACCGACGCCGACCTACGAGACCATTGGATCAACATTATTATATTCGGTGTCTTCTGGGTCGCTTTCGGATGTGTTGTCTGGCGCATGAAACGAGGCGCAAGCGACGCGCGCACTGCCGGCCCTCATTGGGATCCAGCTGGTAACGTACCCTTTCGCGAGTACCCTCGCGAGGCGCATGCCTGGATCAACGTGGCCGCAGGCAGCGTGACTCCCTCCCAACAGGCCGCTGCCTTACAGCGTGGCCTGGGGAGCCTGGCAACGACCATCGCCATAACAGTCCCCCCAGCAGTGATCAACTTTGCGTCACGCCGATGGGGCAACCCATATACTGTTCTCCCTCAGCACAAAGTTCGAGATCCTCGAAGAAGAAGGAAAATTAAATAGGGGACGGCTCTCATCGATTACTCGTGTCCATGCAGGAGAGAGGATCGACCAGGCGCTGGCCCGCTGCGAAATCGCACGCTTCGAAGCCGACGCCGCGGGGTTCAACGCACCAAACTTCCAAGCCCTGACAGTCACACTGTTCAGGGCCCTACTTGTCAGCAACTCTCGTGCACCACAGCTACTATAACCACTGAGCCACCAAACGCAGATGACACAAAAACAATTCGATTGTTTAATTGAACGCATGAGGGTTTATGCCCACATTGCTGAGCGCGCCCCTGGCAGCATCGGCGGTGTCTTCCATCGCGGCCGCCGCGTCGATGTCTTCCACGGCGACACTCGCGCGGGACAGCGCGCCGGCACATTCTGGAACGACCGTCCACAACCGACCGAGGTCACCGCTCTACTGAGCCAGCAAGGTGGCCAGCCCTCGGGTTTGCATGGCTCGTGGGTTCAATGCCGGGGGCCGTCGGCAACGGCGGCCCCTTCTCGCGCCGCTACCTACATTGTCTTGGAGGGGCAAGCCGCGGGGCCCGCATTCGATTGTTCCTTCAACTCGGGCGCAGGTACCGACGCATCGTCAGATTGCGGCGCCGAACCCATGGACTACTATGATGCGCTTGTATACCTCGCCGAAGAACAGCAAACGCAATTGATATTTTTGGGTTTGCACAAAAACATAAACGACGATGGAGACGCTTCATGAAGAAACCGGTCCGAGGGGCACGCCGCGCGATCCGACGCGCGCTTAGGTCCGAGGGTAAAGGTGCAGGCAAGGGTAAAAGACGACGACTGCATGGTGGAGGCATGCTAACCTCCCTGGCGTCTCTCGCGGACCCACAAAACGAGGGGCTCTTCCTGGGCGAGGGCAGGGGCCGCAGGCGCGCCGCGGGAGAGGGCCGGGGGCGTCGGGGCAACCCGAAGGATGCCAGCGGGTAAACCATGGCATGTGAGATTTGCCATAGCGCCCAGCATTTTCGTCGCGAGCGCCCCCGAGGCGACGGGAAAGGCAATGGGGGGTCCGTCGACGCATTTGGCTCAGACAGATTCTGACATTCAGTGTGTTGACTTCGATGCGTTCC